AATGCCCCTGAAGAATTTAAGTATGTACCTATTATACAACGTGTCCCAAAATTCAAGGATAAGCCGACGCCGCAGGATGGACATAGTTATGACTACTTTAGGAAAAATAAGGAAAAAAATCTATCTCAATTATTTTTTAACTTACACAATAAATTATGAAATTCGACGAAAATTGACACCCCTTATGATATTTTACATTACCACAACCACAATTTTTCAAATATTCCTGTTTTTCTGTTTATATCGGCAACTTAAGTAGTGCTGCTGTTCACCCCAACTCTTAAAACCCCCAGAATCCTTGCAGTTTTTACACAAAAGTTAATCAAAATATGTTATTTCCTTAAAATTTTCAACGATTTTTACTTTCACTCCACTTTGACTCATCGTTTTGTAAAAAAAAAGTATGAACACTACTGCGGCAAGTTTTTTATAAAGTTGACGCAACTATCCAAGATTCCAAAATGGTATAACACTCTAAGAAACCTAGTCGCAAAAAAGATATGCGTACCATTTTTACAAGCACTTCGCTTGTTAATTAGTATGGGATAAATCTTGCAACTGAATTTAAAACCAGTTATCCTTAACCAATTGAGCTGAAATTTGGTATACTTGTGTAAGTACGATGACAATGCAATATTATGGTACCATTGAGCTGGATGGAGTCTGGAGGTGGCTATAAGAACTCTTAACGAAACGGCGGAATTGCATCTAGTTTGGGTTCGTTGGACTTGTCTTTTCGAGCACTTTAGTGCTAGATGATGTCCAGGGTCCTGATGATGAAGTCAAGAGGTGGCAGGAGCTGGCCATAGGAACTCCTAAACGAAACGGCGGAAGCTTATCGAGTTTGGGTTTGTTGGATTTGTCTTCCCGAGCACTTGGGCCATAAGATTGAGAAACAACGAAAAAGTTTAAAATAAAGTTGTAATAAAAAAAAAACTTTTTTAAAAACAAGCTTGACTTCGTTTGAAAATTTTAATTGAGTTCATCATCAGGACCCTGAACACCATCTAGCACTAAAGTGCTCGAAAAGACAAATCCAACGAACCCAAACTAGATGCAATTCCGCCGTTTCGTTTAGAAGTTCCTATAGCCACCTCCAGTCTCCATTCAGCTCAATGGTACCATAATATTGCATTTTCATCGTATTTACATAAGTATACCAAATTTCAGCTAAATCGGTTGAGGAGAACTGGTTTTAAATTCAGTTGCAAGATTTATCCCATACTAACTAACAAGCGAAGTGCTTGTAAAAATGGTACGCATATCTTTTTTGCGACTAGGTTTCTTAGAGTATTATACCATTTTGGAATCTTGGATAGTTGCGTCAACTTTATAAAAAACTTGCCGCAATAGTGTTCGTACTTTGTTTTTACAAAACGATGACTCAAAGTGGAGTGAAAGTAAAAATCGTTCAAAATTTTCAGGAAATAACATATTTTGATTAACTTTTGTGTAAAAACTGCAAGGATTCTGGGAGTTTTAAGAGTTGGGGTGGACAGCAGCACTACTTAAGTTGCCGATACAAACAAAAAAACGGAAATATTTGAAAAATGGTGGTCGTGGTAATGTAAAATATCATAAGGGGTGTCAATTTTAGAAGATTTTCATAATTTATTGTGTAACTTAAAAAATAATTGAGATAGATTTTTTTCCTTATTTTTCCTAAAGTATTCATGACTATGTCCATCCTGCGGCGCCGGCTTATCCTTGAATTTTGGGACACGTTGTATATTTTTAATTTCAGAATTAAAATGAGCGAGTTTAGGTATTCAAAACAAACAAACTAAAAATCGAATCTTCATAAGAAAGATTAGTGTAGCAGATAGAAACGATGAAACGATCGTCTATTATACGTATTTGTTTATTATCACATAGAAATACTTAAACAAAACTAAGCTCGGTCAACAAACTAATTCAACAACTGGTATTTCAGAATCAATCATGATAAACAAACAAGGCACCTACTTAATACATTCGTAAACGGATAACCAATCATCGAAATAATGTGATAGGTAGGTACGTATTTAATCAGGGGATTTAATTAATCGTATAGTTCCGGGTAAGACGGGATAATTGATTATTATTTCTCATGTAATAATGATGACTTAGTAGATGTAGTAGTAATTATATGCGACAGTAATCGTGGTGTAGTTATGTTGCTAATAAATACGACGTCGCGTCAATATGAAAATATCCAAAGTTAGAAAGAAAGACATCTACTAGATCAAGCATTTTTGTAAGTAAGTATTTAATGTACACGAGACGAAGTATAAATACCTAGTTCAGAAATCTAAATTACTGGATATTTTGAAACTACTCAAGAAGGTTTCAATTTTCAATGAAAGAGCACTTAAGCTTCATAAGTCTCTTGTCTTCGAGTCCTAAGCTATAGGTACTTAATTAATACAACAAAAAGTGTTTTTGGACTTTTGTTACCAATTCCATAAGGCTCGAATTCCATTTTAATTTAAACATTTCTGGTACTTTGTAGCCGGAAGCCATTGATTCAATCGATATTACGGATTCGTATCGAAAACGGAGATCTTTCATTTAGAGAAAAAATTGAATGATTTGAAGAATAGGTAAGTACCTACTTACACTTTGCCTTTCCAAACACGATTTTGGGCTAAAAGACTTATCTTTTGGCAGTAGGTATACATACTAAACTTGCCGACATGAGTCGTCGACTTTTGACATGTTGTCAAAAGTCATTGAAAGATCAAGACCTCGTCATGATTCTTTTGAAATACAGCCGCCGACACCAAGCCGCCGGGCTGTCGGCGGGCTTGGTGTGTAGAGGCCTTCAAGAGATGACACATAAGTTTAGAAGATCTCCCGGAGATAATTTTAGATGTCATTTCATATTTGTGCCATCAAATTGTTTGCGACAGTGATTGATAAATTGGCCAACACTGGTGAAATTTCAATGAGTTGCTAACAGAGTTTAATACGGCGCAAAGTTTTATGAGCTGGGGTTCCGAACTTTTATTAGACACCCGATTGTTGTTGAAAAGTAAGACGAAATAAAAACTAATACGATACACGTAATATATTTTGGCACATCATCCTAACCGTGGTTCATGTACCGGTTCAATCCTATAACTTTGCTTGGTTTGGAAGTATTTTTTTTTTGTATTCAATTATTCAAGTATTCAATTCAATATCACAGTGTATCCAATGATATTAATATGTATCAGTTTACGTATCTACTAAACTATTATTTACTATTACTGACTTCTTAGGTAGGACGGTAGGTACCTACATCACGCTACAACAGAAACCAAATGGACTTCGTAGCTAATGATCTGTGCAGGGTAAGTATGTGGAGAAAACCAGCAGTCCATGAACCATTTATTGTGCGAATGTGAATGTGTTTGGTCACTCACTGCACAAAATAAGTACTTACCTATTCAATTTATTGGTAAAAGCGAATCATGAAAAATCTTAGGCATAGACGTGTCTTATTTCACTAACTGTGTCTAAATGTGACATTCGATTTCTTCGAGATTTCCCGCATTGATGTGCATTTCAGATAAAGTTAGATTTTCCTCAGCATAGGCCGAATTCCAATTGAAAATTTATCCAATTAATGTTTAAAACTACAACCGCACTTCATGGAATTATGTAATCCATACGTAGGTAAATTAAAACCTGAATTTTAAAACTGAAATTCCCATTGACCGATGGAACTCTGCTTGTTTGTGAGCTTGTTAAAAAGTTGATGAAATAAAAAATATTGTTAAGCAAACATGCCAAACGAAAGCCCTCGAGCCTTTTGGGAATTAACGTTAGTGTTCCGTATCAATTGGGAACCGGCTTTTAAGGTAAAATGAAAGGGCGGAATATTTAAGCTTTCATCTATACTTCTCATTAATATTATGGTGAAGATGAAAAAAAATGGTTGTTTGTTTGGTTGAACGCGCTCATCTTAGGATGTAGGTAAGTACTCGTATTAAAAGATTGATATGAAAAAATAATTTTGTGGTCAATTTTTTTATCGTGGAAGGCTTTAGGGCTCATGCATACGACGCCGCTACCGCGCCGCCGCCGCGCCGTCGCCGCGCCTTTGCACTGTTCATACGCACCGAGTAAATCCGCCGCCGCGCCGCCACCGCGCCATCAAAGCATAATTTCGCCCGCGGCGCGGCGGCGGCGCGGCTGCGGTGTTCACGCGGCTCGTATAGGCCCAGTGCAAAGGTGCGGCGATGGCGCGGCGGCGGCGGCGCGGTAGCGGCGTCGTGTGCAGGAGCGCTTACGCTTTTTACATAACGTTACAACCAATAAGAGCGAAACATCCATGAAAAATGTAGTAAAACCGGGATTTGTTCAAACAATTTTCACGACTACGAAGGCGCGGGCACAGTTAGACTCGTATTATAATAAACACTTGCAGTTTACATTTCACAAAGCTATGTTATAATTAAATGAAAATGTAAATATAGGCCGTTTATCATCAAAACTTCTTTCGTCAAACTCGACGCGTGCCGCCAAACTAAAGAGCCTAGACTTACGCCAAGGACTCTTCCTAACTCAGAGGAGTATTAAAGTAGTTGTTCCAACAAAGTTGTGACATAATAAAGCTTAGGAGTTAAATGAGTACATTAGTAGAGCACACTTGTTATTCGACGTTTAGCTTAATAGATTGCGTTTAGGATAAGAGACAATTGGTTCTTTGTAAATACTTGGTTGCAGACGATAGTAGGTACAAAGTCAAGCTTCTCCAAAACTTAGATGTAAACTGGCTTACTATGTAGGTAAACCTAGCCTTTATAAAATGAAAGTATGTGGTTTGAGTTGTCATTGTGACTTTTGAACCAAGAAGAAGGAATTAGTCACCACGACCCGAGTCTCAGAGAAATGTTACCCACATTTCGCACTCCTCAATCCTCACAGTAGGAAAAGTGAAATCACTTTTAGTGGTATCGCTTAGATGTTCAATATTTTATAGAAATCAATTATACAAATCAGTGCAGAATAAATGAAAACTCTATTTGTTCCAGATGCAGTGTGTTGCGATGAAGAGTACAGACTCGTGCGTCACTTGATGCAGAAGTACGATGCATCAGTGCGCCCCGTCGAGAACTCGTCGCATCCCCTGCTCGTCACCTTCGGCGTGTCTCTGCACCACATCATCGACGTGGTAAGTGCGGGAATCATCATCATTAGTTTCCACTGCACGAGCACTGAGTGCGTGATCATCATCAGGTCATTTTGTCCCCGCTGCAGGAGCAAAGCCCTCCCTTTTCTTTGGGTATTAGCGGATTGTTCTACGCTCTCCGCGCTAGCCAGACGGGTTGGGGATTTCGATGTTCGCATATTTTCTCCTGATGTTCTGCTCAAAACGACCTGATACTGCTACTAGATCCATCAGTTACCACCTTACAGCAACCATATCGTGTTTGGGCTTGTTAGTTTTGTTTTTATAAGGGCTCTACATTTTTGACTAGACTAGATGTTTGATTCTAAAGATGTTTTTACTAGGTATTTATTATTTGATTTAAGTATTTACTCTCTGAGTAAGTACTTAGAGAGTAAGTATTCGAGTTCGGGTCACCTATTTTTCAAAGCTTATTTGATTGACGAGTAGACCGTACAAAATCCACGCAAACAAAACGGTTCAAACAAACAAAGCTATAAAGGATGCCAATCATTGAATTTTGTAAGCAAAATTGATATCTATTACCTATTCGCTGTATGTGAAAAACAGAATATTAGTTTAATTAGGTTCGATGAAATATGTATTGCATAACCTCCCATATTCAAGTAGGTACGTACCTACTCAGTATTTTACAAGGGAAAACTGTTTTATAATACTAATTATTTAATTAAAACCCTTTTGTTTTATAATAACGGCGATATCATTGACAAAACTTATTAACTACTATAATAGCTCTTAAGTCAATGTCATAAAGCCTAAGATTATTTAAATGAAATTAATAAGTACATCATCAAAATATCTCATCCAATTTTTAATCGAGAATCTACAAATAGGTATTGGTTTTAAAATCATTTAGGCTTAAAAATAGGTACTAACGAGTATGGCCCAGAACAGACGGTGAAACGCAACTGCAATGAAACTGCAACTGCTAGTTAGTTTTGAGTTGCATCTAAGTTTCTGCCATAGCGTCCGTTGAGAGACCACACATGACGCGACCAACACATTCAGTTTCAGTTTCATTCATCAGAATCATCAGAAAGTTGCAGTTGTGTTTCACCGTCTGTTCTGGGCCTAAGAGGATATTATGATATCTGGTTAAATTATGAAATCCGTTCACTCATCTGGCAGATTCTAGCATGCGATTTCGTATGCACAGTCGTACGCGAGAATTTTCACGTTTGTTTAATATTTAAAACAAACTCTTCAGCTTTTAATCAAGTAAAGTATTAAATTATAGAATATAGATTTTAGTAAGGCAAAAAAGCATCAACTGTCGTTACAATATCTTCAAATAGATCAATTAAGAGATAGCCTACTTTAAAAGATTTGCCCGGCAAGAACAGAAGCAGGTGTTTTAATTTTATTTTCGCGTTATTTTGCTTAGGGCGAAGGGCCTAATTCCCCTAAGAAAGTAAATCAATCTTCCTGATCCGTTAATGGGGTCTGTAATTTTATACCCAATCTCAGAATATTCGTAACCGAATACTTATGTTTATCACGGCTGTTAAATTTTCCAAGTTTATTTAGTTGAGAGCTGTTTCAAAATGTCTTTTAACAATTAAGTAACTAAGTACCTACATACTTATGCAGTAAATAAATACAGGTGTCATTATCGTGATTAAACTGCTCGCTTCAAAAATGGCAGCCAAATTATCGTCGGAAATTATTAATTTACTGAAATAAGCAGGCGATCGAAAATGTGCGGCCGGTCTGCCACCAAATTACGCCTCATTCGACGAACGCTAGGTAGTGTAAACAAATGCATAGTTCTACTTTTTGTATCTTTGATGAAAAATGTAAAAGGCCTAAAACAATTTTTGGTTTCAATTTGCACAGTAAACTGGAAATAATGTGTATTAACTTTTTAGTTGACTTTTAAGGCCAAGGCTGAAAGTTACTTTTATTATTCACTTGAAAATGAGTAAAATGTAAGTTAACTAATGAGTAGATAAAAACTAGGTAGCGTATATTTTATCGCTCGGCAAGAGTTTTAGTTTGTGTACAATAAAAAAAGAGATTAGAGAGATAATGTAGTCATAGAGTTTTAAAGTTATTTCCTTATAGTCATGAAGAAACTACGTTATTCTTGAATTTTCCACAGTAAACAAGTTCCTAATTTTCTTTACGAGAATTACCATCATGTAGGATAGAAATAATCACGCTAACGAGGGCTTAACTTTGCAATTTTGTGTGGAAAACTGCTAAGAGAAGTTTGTAGTCGAAAAGTGGANGCTAAGGGACGAAATGTCTTTTAACAATTTAAATTATCAGTTTAGTTTTAATTTTGTATTTGTTGTAGTTTAAAAAAAGTGGTTTCATGCTATACCTACATATATCAATATTTACAAGTAGGTAGGTATTAATGATTTGTGAGCTTTACTGGAATACTAACAACAAAGACCCGAATAGATGTTACGTTTCTGACAAACATAGGTCATACTTCCATTAAAGGTAACTAAGTACCTACATACTTATGCAGTAAATAAATACAGGTGTCATTATCGTGATTAAACTGCTCGCTTCAAAAATGGCAGCCAAATTATCGTCGGAAATTATTAATTTACTGAAATAAGCAGGCGATCGAAAATGTGCGGCCGGTCCACCACCAAATTACGCCTCATTCGACGTAGGATAGGTAGTGTAAACAAATGCATATTTCTACTTTTTGTATCCTTAAAGAAAAAGCCTTTTGGCCCAAAACAATTTATGGTTTCAATTTGAACTGGAAATAATCTGTATAAACTTTTTAGTTGACTTTTAAGACTGCGCCAAGGCCGAAAGTTACTTTTATTATTCACTTGAAAATGAGTAAAATGTAAGTTACCTATCTAATGAGAGTCGCTCAGCAAGAGTTTTAGTTTGTGTACAATAAAAAAACAGATTAGAGAGATAATGTAGTCATAGAGTTTTAAAGTTATTTCCTCATACTCATGAAGAAACTACGTTATTCTTGAATTTTCCACAGTAAACAAGTTCCTAATTTTCTTTACGAGAATTACCATCATGTAGGATAGAAATAATCACGCTAACGAGGGCTTAACTTTGCAATTTTGTGTGGAAAACTGCTAAGAGAAGTTTGTAGTCGAAAAGTGGATACCAGATAACAAGAACAACAAAGTCGAGGTGAAACTGTCAGGAGTATAAGTTTGCGTATAAAATAATAATAATTTCACTTGTTTAAATTGTTATAAAGCTTTAACGCTACTCAAAATGTGGCTTAAGTTTTTGACTACAGATTTCTTAACTAGTTTTCTAAAGATTTAATGTGTTTGCTATGTTTTTTAAGGTTTTATGACTTTCGTTTGTACCTACGTTGGTTAAACCACATCTATAAAAATATCCAGACATTAATCTTCAACTGCTAGGACGACAGTTACGTCGTAATAATTCTGCGACAAATTTCCGCCGCGAACACCTTATTTAATTTGGGCGCCGTGGCGCCTATGTTCCGAATTGAATCACATTTCTACGGCGAATGCAATAAACTGACTATTGCGATAGAGGGCCCGTCTCACCAAGAGCAGAAAAAGACTAGTCGTTAGCGAACGTCAAATGCTCGTTTGCAAGTAAACTGTGCCTCTACCATGNAGAGGCACTGTTTCAAGTTTCAGTTATCGATATCATTTTATTGACTGCCATTTCATTCAATTTCAATGGATAAATATTGAATCGGATTGATAAATAAAAGCGAGATTTGATCCGGGGCTATAAATTCCAGACGGTTTTAATTCGATACCCCTCGAACGTTCGGCGCGAATGCTCATTAAATACGGATGCTCTCGGTGAGGAAACAGCATTATGTAAATTAACGTGTACCTACGTCTGCCGCCATTTGCCCCACAATATTGAATAGCAGCACGAATTGTTAGTATAACTTCTTCATTTCGTGACGATCTTGATGCGGGATGAATCTTGTGAAACTTTGTCTGTATAAAAGTTCCAAGTTTGATGTAGGCTTCTGTTCGTGCTTACGTTAATCTAATTCAAACATTCTTCTCGAAGTTACTATATTCTTGGTAGTAGCAGGAATCTAGGTAATATTAGTTCTACTGGGAAATGGAGGGAGTAAGAATTTCATTGTAAGGAATTTTACTTAAGACATCTTAAAGTAATATTAAATTAAAGGTATTAATGAAAAATAATAGAGGAGATGATGATGTGATAGATAGACTAGAAACGACTAAATAGAAAGCTTTAAGTTAAAAAAAAATGTGTTACTTATGAAAAAAATTGAAAGCAAATATTATAATTTTAGTTTATCTGATGAACGCTGAACAATAAACGCACTGCGGCTAATAACTCTCATTATTTATGATAATAGATATTTAAAAAAAACAGATGAACAAAATGCGATGTCAGTTAAATATAATTTACGAAGATGTAAACACCGTAAGATTGTTTCTCAGAGTAGCTGAGCATTCTGATTTTATGACGTGAAAATTTAATGAGCTTCTTATATTGTAATTTTCAATGCTTACAAAGAAGCTTGAACGTCGAGGTATTTCATGAACATTTCGTATGTTTCGGTTGATTACAAAAGTTTTGTAATGTTTCAATTTGTCAAACGATTACTTTGTTAAATTCTGGTGTCACTGGAGGTTCTAGTTCTGTATCCGGCGACAGGCTTGCCACATCAGGGGGCGTTTTAATTCTCCCCGCATTTCCATTGCGATGAAAACTTGGTGCCGGGAATATTGCTTGTAGGACGAAGAAAACCACCGCACCGGTATTACGTCCAAAGAATCTGTGTATAACGGCTACATTAAAATTTGAATTGCTTTTCCTTAGACGTTGATTTGGACTGGGTTTAATTGGCACTTTATTACAGACAAACAAGTTATCTGTGTTTTCTCAGGTTCTCGTTTATTAAGGGCCAATGTTGACCTCTTTTGATTACTGTAACAATAAACTCACTGTTTATTAGTATCATCCGTTCAATGGCCTTTTTATCGACATTGAACAATTGACTTTGTACTATGTAGGTATTTGGTAGGTACAATGTGTACCTATATGGTTTTGTATTATTCCTTTGTTAGGTCCCTGCTACGATCGCCCAGAAAGGCCTAGTAAATGTGATCAAGGCTAGTGCTCTGCCCATTGTACTCGTAGTAGGTAATTGAGCGTCTTTACAAAAACTACTTTATGACATGCATATTTCAGCCCAAATCGTTGAACCATTTAAGATAGCATCTACACAGATGTATGCACATATATTTGACCGTACTAAATCAGACGAAAGGGTCTTCATTATGGATCGAGTCGATGCCTATTCACTGGATGGTCACAATGGGCTTGAATATGCAACAATGCATGCATTCACGCGACCACGATTAAACAGAGGCCATTCAAACTTTTTGCTAGAATATAAGTTCAGTTCCAATTAATTTTTAGTGAAAGCCAGACAATGCGAAGATTTATGCCTTTCTTTCAATAAAGCTATGTCAAACGCAGAATTTTTAAATCGTCATGAAATTTTTTGTCTACGTTCGCAAATTGTCCGCTAAGCTGCTTCTAAAGCTGTTGATAAACGTTTGTATGAATTCAAATGTGACAACTCGCTTTGATTGTTTGTAACTTTTAATTAAAATGTAAGGGAATACGTTGTACATTTTAAGCTTGAATAATTTATTAACGTATGTAGAAACATTGAATTCTGCATACTCATAGGTTACGTATTAGCACAAAATATAACAGAAGACAAACTCCATACTAAACGCGCTCGAGCCACGCACACATAGACACCGCTCTTGCAAGACTGTCTTGGACGAATGCGAGCGCGACGTGGCGCGACAGACGTTCGCCACACGTTCGCTGTGGTTCGCTTGAGTCACGCGCCGGTCAACCGCCTGTGATATTATTTTGTTTTGCGTAATTGACGAAAATGAGTGAATAGAAAAAGTCGTATTATAATTGTTCGGTATTTGGTTGCTTAAACTCATCATTAAATACCGAATTTTCATTTTTTAAATTACCAGTTGATTCGGGGAGGTAAGTAAGTTATTTATTTGAATTTCAATTGAAATTGAAAGCCAACTCAATTATTAGGAATATCGAATTGTTTTAGGAATTATTGGATAACTAGCTTTTGGCTGCGGCTTCACCCGCGTGAAATTTAGTTTGTCACAGATCGTCATAAATTATAGCCTATATGTTATTCAGGGTTATAAACAATAATACTGTAAAGTTACATCAAAATCCGTTCAGTAGTTTTTGCGTGAAAGAGCAACAAACATCCAGACATCCAAACTTTCGCATTTATAATAATATTGTCAACCACTCAACTAAATACTACTTCCTTCTCGTGTATTTGTTTGCAAACTATTACTATAATAACGTACTAAATATAAATAAGTATACGTGGATATCTGTTATTGTCTTTTTTGCATAGTATTAAGAGTAACATTTTTCTATCATAACGAAATAAACGCAACACATGACAAGACAACCCTAGCGCGACGGCCGAGCGTGCGAGTTAGAGAGGTATGCAAAGCGAGGTACATACATGAGTTTACCTTCTGTTATATTTTGTGGTATTAGTCTCGTAGTATTGTAAGCGTATTAGGTAATGATGGTAATAGAAGAGTTTTAATCCAAGTTAAAAAAGTTATATATAAAGGTACTTTGAGTAGTAAAACCACGAAAGAACCCACATCCCATCCTATACAAACTTCTTTAGTCCAGCACAAACTACCTACAACTTTTGAACGCGCTTCCTGTGCGGCGGGTGTTTGGAACTTAGTGCGAGTCACGTGATCTCAAGAATAATGGCTCTACATACACAAACATTATCTACTATGAGGTCTCACAGTGTGCGTGGATGCACAGGGTGACACACGAGTGACACGAACCAATGACAGAGCTCTATGTACCGCTGTGCATTCGATTTGCTGCTTCACTTAGGCAAGCATCGAATACGGATTTCATACGTAAGTACTACTGCTGTATAGACGTCCTACACTGAACCATCCCAGCTATGACATTGTCAGGAGGGCGCTACTATTGATACTGGGTTGTTAGTTGACGTCTGCCCCTTGACGTTTCCAAATCGTTGGACTACACCATATTCATTCTTGTAGATTACGAGTACCTATAGTTTGTGTTGCCCTCGTGTTATTCCCAGAATAATCTTTGCGACAATAGTTTCTTCTTTTTAAATTCGTTTAAAACTGAGTAGGTACCTCTATACTCTTTAAGTGTCCAATATAACCATGACGTAAAAGACACCTTCTTAATTCTTAAGAATGAGGATTTACATCACAAAAACCCACCGAATGAGGAACAAATAAAAATAGGCCACAATCGCGCTTTGTACCTTTAATTATACAATGTAAAATAATATCTTGTCCTAGAATCGTTTGAAGCAGACGTTCGTTATACAACCACGACAGCTCGCAAATGCCTTTGATTCAATAATCTCTTTGTCCTTATTGAAAAAAAGATGATTATATCACGTTTTCCAATAATCCTTTGTCGAAGCATTTTATTGTGTAAACAATGAGTGCGAATCACGTTCAGCGGGGACAAAACATTACGTCTTCTACAAAATAGGCAGCAAATTTTAAATTATGGCTGAGGGATGTTTGTCTTTGTTTAAATTTATGAAACGGGGCATCTTGAATCAATTAGCGACCGCTGTCTTAATATGTACATTAAATTATGTCCTATGTATCTAGGATAGACGTATCTTTCTTCTCTAATTTTCCTCTGAAGTTTATTAAAAGTTCCCTAACCAAACTAAACGAAAGAGGTCACTTTCCAATTGGAATCATTATAAGTAATTGTTCTAGTTTGTTTAGGAAATTGAATTCTTTAAAACCATTATGGTTTTCCAAAAGTAAGCACAAAAACACAAGAAAAAAAAATACAACTAACAATAAAGTACTCGTACACTGGGCATTAAATCTAATAAAACTTTTTCATTATAAAATTGAAACAGTTTGTACTGGCTGGTTTAAGGCCTTCAGAAAAAAAAGAAATGTATTTAACTTCACCCCTATTTAGAACCTCTTTGGGTACACCTTTATTTTTTTGTTATAATTTACTCAAAATGAAAAACAAAAGAAGTTAAGTTTTCTTTTGTTTTAATAGATTCCTAAAAATGCGTTGATTTCGATCAACGCGGTTTCTGTAAATCGATCAAAAATTGTTTTTAAGTTTTTATTTACATTGTTTTTAAAGTTGGATATGTGCGAAGCTGGTTTGATTTGCTAGTGATTTATTTATTTATATCATCTATATCAGTGTTATGTAAGCAATAATATTAAATATATGGTTTTTTCGAGATAATCTAATAAATAAAGGTAATACACATGTAAGTAATAAAGTCAATGCATAAAAAAGTACAAATACTTTAGTCTCCGAAAAGATTTCCTCTCAACTCAATGGGTCTCTTGTGACCCTTGACACACCTATTAATGGCACCATTCAGTCTTATCTAAGTGATGAATGCTCGGGAAAGGTACTCGCCCTTCGATATTTTACGTTACATTTTCAAAATTATAACATTATTTCTAAATCCTCTTAGCGAATAGTTTATGTCCGCAATGAAACTGACTGAAATAGTCATTTTTCTGAAACTTCTACCACATACTTTTGGCCTTTTTGCGTCAAAAAGGGATAATGTAACTGCGGCCGATTGCTTGAAGTGTTTTAAATCAATGAGTAATACATTACAAGACGCGAAGAACGTTATAGATAAGTAGAACCGGTGAAAAACATGTGTGACACTTTGTTTCATACAGAATTAAATGTTAAGTTAAATGTATGCTGAGAGCCCTAGTTTCTACATACAGGGTGTTTGGCGGAAGGTTAGACAAACTTCGTGGGTGTATAGGTAAGGCCATTTTAAGAATACAAGTTCGCCCATTTTACCCTAAGTGAGCTACTTTTTTTTTAATTGATATTTTTGTTTTTATTTTTCCGAAAAAAAATTTTTTTTATTTGAGTTTAATATCGAATAATATGTTTTTAGTCAAATAAAATAAGTTTCAGATCCAGATAATGATTAGATAGCTAGTTACGAGCCGCTAAAGTTTAACAAAAGTACAAACCACGATAAAAAAATAGCAACTTGGAATTCGATTTAAAAAGAAATGAATGGTGATAATGGATTGCCAATGATCTCTGTATATTGGTCAAAGTTTTTTTTTTTTTTTTTTTTTTATCCATAACGAGGAAGCTCTTGGCCTGTATGTTTAACGTACCTACATACTTTTAAGATGAGAAGGCTCTGGTAAATACGTTTCCACACAACACGTGTAGTGTTACTCCCAATTCACTAATCATGATCATCTATCTCGCTTGTGCAGGAGGAGAAAGACCAGCTGTTGACCACCAACTGCTGGATCACACAAGTCTGGATCGACCATCATCTGCGGTGGAACACGAGTGACTTCGACGGCATTGACGTCATCAGAATACCATACGAGCGCGTGTGGAAGCCCGACATCATCCTTTATAACAAGTGAGTAAGGTCGTTTTTATCAAATGTTTGTTAAAATGTGCGGCAGCTCAAACCTTAACTTTTAAAACTCCACAATATTCAGCTTGATTGATGTGTCGTGTCGTCAACTGTACATACATTAGAACACGAAATTCTCCATACTTTTTATTTGATATAGCGTTCATTCTGCTCACAGCGTCCGACATACAAGCTAATGTATAAAATATTAGGTCCGCAGCACGTGGCAGACATAATTGAACTAATGAACGAAAGGGTCGGGCTTATGGCATAACGATGGCATCAGATCCGAACAAATAACACTATGCATGACTAGGTTTTTTATTTTGTATCAGTTTGTGCTTATTGAATTGTTTTACAGTACCTATTAATTTTCGAATTTATAAATAAACTATCATCTATCTTAAAAGAGGTCCAAAATTCTAATAGTAGCTAATAGAAAAACCAATTATGTAGTAATCGCTTTGAAAGGACAGTCTTGAGGGACGAAAATTTGAGAGTGGCCTTATCTTTTTTAAAATTCGTTATTTTTAAACACCAGGTGGATACTTTGAATATTTGATTTGATCGTGTTGCTAAATGAACAAAAGAAAATAATATCAGGACATCAAAAGTAAAACAGAATTGCTTAGTAGCCCTCGCCCGCCCTGGGGGTTTTCCTTGAACATTTCCATAAATTCAGATCTGCCCAACACAAACGGCTCTTACTGAATAAACATTAATTCTTCGTTAACCGATATTAATTAAGTAAGAAAAAAATTCAGGTAACAGTTAAAATTGTGAAGTTGTGTTTCAGAGAAAATTCTTATTATTATAAGAAAAAAAAGCACATAAAAGTTTTAAAGTAATCCAGTCCCTATTTAGCTTAGCTATTAATTTACTGGTCATGCTAACTTTTTGTTATAAAATTTAACCTACGTACTGCTTCTAAAATTCTGTATTGGCAAATATCCTTTTTAATTTTCAGATTTTTACGATATTTCTGCTCTAAGATCACGAAGTTTATGTCATAAGGTGTCAGCAAAAATGGGCAGCGCAGTTAGTAAAATTAAAACGATGCGCCCAAGACTAGCATAAAGCGGTGGATATGAAAGTAACGACTGGAAAAGTAGTTTGGACAAAAATTTACTTTTGATTTTATGTGCAATTTGAAAAATGTTGTAGGATCCATATCCATTCTTTAAAAAATGCAAGGGATATTTTGTTTTATTTAATGATAACCTGAAATTTTTAACACTGGTCTTACGTAAATGAAGACTAAAAACGATTGCTAAATTACATTACATACAAATAAGTACCTAACTTAAAGAAAAGTTATCGAAAATATGCAAGAATACTAAAACTTAATTGACTCTTCATTTGGCTCTATTATCTTTGCAGTTTATCTGAGCTAGTAACACGACCAATAAGCAAATTGCTACACCATTCAAAATATTTAATCTGCTCTAAAATTATGCAAAGTGAAGTAAGTAGAATTTAGTCATATGGAGCGTGGTTATGATGCTATCACGACTAAATATTTGAAACGTGTCCAGATCGTACGGGAAGTTTGGCGAGAAATGAAGAGCTTGTTTATTCTGTCTCAGAGTTTGAATAATTCAGTATGTGCATGCGGGGTTCGATCCCGGTAGCACTATCCATTCATCCATCCAAGTTTAACCGCGACCATCGGTGCTGAGGCGATTGATTGATAGATACGTTCGCAGGCTCTCCTTGCAAACACTTCAATACACATTGTGTGTGCAGCCGCTAATAAGAGTGCTTTGAGGCTCAGTCTAGCTTTAATACTATTCAGGTGTGCCAGACTCGGCGTACAAAAAGATTATTCGGTTTGATAACCAACCCCAGTCAAATCACTATAGAGCTAAAAGATACCCGAAAATGGTTTGCGTTGACGGCCCTCAAGACACTGCTTACTAGCTATTATTAGCTAAATTCTAAAGAAACTGTCTAGTAGAGAATCAAAGGTCTTATCTTGAAAATCGATTTTGACTCACCTTGTATCTCTCACACTTGGACATCACTAGCATGATGAGTGAGAAACGATAGAGCCGATATTGAAATCGTTATGGCGCTGATGGTCTGTACTTTCGGAACACGTATTGGAATTGCTAGTTCCAGTCAGATTAAGCAGATTATCTAAAAGTGGATGGTTATAGTATACGGATAATAGATTGTAAATAGATATGAATATACCGCAGCATAAGTAGGATTAACCTTATAAACGTTTCTGACTCTATGAAGTTATAATCGATCGTGTTCATATCACTTACATTTTTTTGGCTCTCGAAATGTAAGCCTTGGCTTGGTGACAGAAAATGCATGGACGACGTGTCCTAAGTGATATAATGTTATTCATTTAATATTGTTCCCTTTGTTACAGTGCCGATCCGAACTACCGTTCGGCTGTGATCAACACGAACGTGATTGTGCGACACACGGGTGAGGTGACGTGGCTTAGCCACGGCATCTACGTGTCGGTCTGTGATATCAACGTGGAGCAGTTCCCTTTTGATGTGCAGCTGTGCACCATGAAGTGGGCTTCGTGGACATATGATGGGTTTCAGGTAACTTAAACGTAGACATCTATCTGATCTCTCCTATAGCACTTTTTGGCGGGAGAGCGAAGGGTCATGTTTGCCAATTTTGTGTTATTTTCTAATATCAGTATTTAGTGGATTATTAACACAATGAATCATCTGTCTCCTGCTTTGTAACTGTAGGAATTAGGTACTATTACTTTACTATATTTATCTCAACTCCTTCTATATTCTTCTAATTAAATTCTTTGCGGGTTCTAAAAGACAGTAACTGACCCACACGATAACTTAACCTTTCCAGTAGGCCTAAGATGCGCGCCGTGATAACTTTTATCGACGTCAAAATGTATGGGGAAAATCGATAAAATGGCGTGATAAGCGCTTATCGCGGCGCGCATCTTAGGCCTACTGAATGGGTTTTATTAGGGACCAAACTGTAGATCTTGGTTATACAGGAGTTTCAAGAATAGGAACGGGATATCTAATACTTAAAGTCCCTCGCCCTCACTAACCAAAAGATTCAGGATATTTTCTCGCGAAAAGTCGCCTTAACCTGCAACGTCACTACACCCTCTTTCCAAAAGTATTTTAATTAAAGGCATTCAAAGGCAAAAAGTGACCTGTTAAGCTGCTTTTTTACCCTCATTGAGCTCAGCATTGAAGAACTGTAGGTAAATTACATAATTTTTGTGTTATTTTTGTGTAATAAAACTGTGAAAAACTTATAATAGAAGAATTACATAATCCATTTCTAAGTTTATCATCCTAACAATAAGATATTCTAGCTAATTCGAAATAAATATTACCACTGAACCATATTCTTGTAAGCTGAGAGTAGATAAATATTGTTTGTCATAAAAGAAAACATAGAGGGAGATAGAAACGACAGATTTCCTTCGTCAAACACGGGTCGAATAAACGGGGATGAGCCGCCACGTCAGAAGGCTTAGCCACACACACACAGCTACACGCTTGAATAGTCAGTGCCAAGAGAAAATGGAAATTTTTATAACAACTAAAACCGAAAAACATTGTTACCGAGTTGTCTTTGTATTTACCTACTGATATGAGTAAAGCAGACAGCTCATCTCTCTATAACTTGATCTTTATCAATGCATCTGACAGTTTCTATATTGGCACAGACATAGTGTTATTCTTTGTTTCCATTCGCCCTCAACATTACCCTACCCGAAACCTTGCCTGTGGAGATATTTTTGAGGTCAAGATGGAAATGGCCTGAGCGCGGTTGATGTAATGATAGCAACAACGCGCTTACGTAGATGTGTTACAAAGGAATAGGAGAAAAATTAGGTAATAATGATGTTATCAATTTAGCAGTGTGTATTATTATATGGTCGAATAATCTAGAAATTAGTAATATTTTCCCGGCTCTAGGATTTTATCATGTAAAACTAATTAGCGATGAACAAAAATCATGTAGGTAGCGTTCACGCTATTAGCGCGCGTGGGAGTTAACTTTAATACGATACGACAGGCAGGATGTATAATAAACTTAGTAACTTTATATACCTTTAATTTCGGAAAACTTGTATTCACAAAAATACATGATGTTTCCTAGGTCTATTTTATTTTCAGTATTAATAATAATTGCTTAATATTAAACCTAAGTACACAAAGCGCAAGACCCGACGCACACTTGGTCATTTCTTCTAGTTTAATAAACTAACAATATTAAAATATGAAAGGAGATTGGGGCCATCTGGAACTCCAGCTGGAAATCAGCGCTGCAGTTTGCTGCAGATTATTTTGTGCTAGCTTGCATTATGCACAGTAACATAGTCGCTGCAATTACTTAAACTATGTTATTTTGTAGAGCTTTTTCAGGAATGTTATATAATATTTCATATATGCATTTTTTACTTACTTTCTTTCATCAAAACCAAGAATACATGGTGTTTTTATTTTATTGATACGAGGGAACTCTTAAAAGGGATGATAGTACAACGAAAGGGGAGAGGAATTTAATAAGTTGAATATAACCTACAACACTACTACAAATTCTTTCGTTTCTCTACTTAGGTATTTAAAGTCTAATTTACATATTAGTAGTTTACTAAACAAAAATTCATCCCTGTAACACGAAACTGATGATTTGTATTAGCGTAGACATTGATCCACAAAAACGTTAATAACCCACAAAACAAAACATTGTAAGCTGGCTTCTTAATAATGAAAACATGAAGCTTGTTTGGAACAATAAACCAATTTGTGTTGCTGAAACAAAGGCTGAACTCCTCTCATTACTTAAATGGAAGTGGTATTTCAAAGATTACGGGCTGTCAACCGCGAAACAGAAAAAGCATTCAGTTTTCTGGGACATTCGGTTCAATGAGACAACTCGACTTTACAATATTTTCGCATGGGCTTTATGATTCGCCGTGGATAAGCCGCGTCCCGCGTCCGTTCGGTCGGACACAATTTGTTTTGTTGAGTTTGAATGTCCTTAAAGCCCTGGTACAGTAGGGGATGAATGGAGTTAATACATGTTCTGGAACATGTTCATCCGAAAATGTATGCGAGAAACAAAATGATACACATTTCGTTGCTCTCGGAGGGAAGCAAGTAAGAGTCTCACGTTGATTAAATGCATTAAAAAGCGCGACACTGAGAAATGTTGCAGGATTTAGATTAAGCGTTGCGCTTCAAGTTGGGGTCATTTAATCCTAGTGTATTCCAGGTTTTTCATCGATAGTCACTGAATTGCTGGAATAAAATTTAACTCTTTTTATAGATTGCTATTATGATCGCACAGTCACAAACCATGAACAAATAAAAAGTCAAATATTAAATATTTTGCAGAAGCTAATCCGTCCGGAAAATTTGACCAAAATACAATTTATCTTGCTGGATTCATTCATCATATTTACGCAATCAATTTCAAAATGTTCAGGCGCTTAATATTTTCCTTTTGTCTGCAAAACGATGCATTTAAGTGGACGGCAAAATAAAAGTTGATTTGAGCTGCTTGGAGCTCGGGGATGGGAAATCAAATTGTATTTGCGTTGACTGTTAACAACGATCGTCCCGAGTGAGGCTGTTATAGCACTTTATCTGATCATTAAGATTGAATTCGCCGTTGTGTTATGTTGAGGTTGAAGGAAATCCCGTTAGTTTGTACGATTTCTTTTTTTGTCTTTGATTTGATTGCGAGGCTTTTTTGTTTTCAAGCAAAGCGAGGAAGCGCCTAAAATAATCACGATTAAATGGCGAAAAAGGCAAGAAAATTTTCGTAACATCGTATCTCTTTCGTTGTAAAGAAACAAAGTCTAGATTAACTTTTACTTAGCCTGTACAATTATGATCATATTTTTAAGCACGTCCCCGTGATTAGCAGAAATTAATAAACGCTTACACAACATTATGTAAGAGGTATCGTACACCATGCAATGTGACACTTGAAGATGTAAAGCAACAGCTCCCAAGTATCCGCTATATGAATTTCAGCAGCATTTCGTATTATGTATCTGGTAATAAATCATATCAGTCACCTCAAAGACATACCAACGTATCTCCAGACTGATTCATTGCTGCAAAACGGATATTTGTATTCGTGTGCGAGAAATCTTTGGAGTGTTGAAACCAAGGTTTATCATGCGGCAATATTATCATGCGGTAATTACTTAGTGATAATTACGATGCCTACGTAAGTCAGTAGTTTGTGTAGATGGATGTTTCATCATTTCACAAAAGTAAAACTAATTACGTAAAGCATTTTCCCTCGTTCCAAATGCAGCATAATTAGGTATGAGAAATTGTGAATAAATAAATTTAGGGACGCACAAGTCAGAAGTTGCACGATCATGTGCACGTTTAGGCATCGTCAAAGCGCAATGTCATAGTAGAATCAAATGAGCAGAATGTCTACGGAGTCAATACCTTGAGTCCGTAGACTTGTCAAACATTTACTTAGGTACCTATAAATGCAGTATATTACTGATGTAGGTAAAACAGTCAATGTTACAGTTGTTTGCTTGTTAGTTCTATTTACCGCTTAAATAAACTGTATTTTGTAGCTGAATCGTGACTTCAGCCACAACTTGATAATAGATCTAAAGTGCAATGCCATATGGTATACTTTTGCTATAATACGTTACTTGACGCCCACCTGAGTCTACATAGATATTTAACTAAGGCGAAATCTTCAGCTCTCAGCGAGCTTCAGCTAAGCTTGAATATCCTCTAAAGTGAAACGTCTCCTAAACGGGCGTTTATCGGGCTGTCAAATCTGATGCTCGTATCAGTATCCAACAAGATCCTGTAATCTTTATCAAGCTTCGATTTTGAAAGTTTTCTACGCCATTGGCCATCAGTATTAAGCACTTGCTAATTATTCCTGTGAGTGACGATAGTTTGTCCTTTTAGGATTGTTCAATGCCTATAGAGGCAGTTTATTAATCCTAAAGTTTTATTTACTAACTACCTAATTATTATATTTTTAATCAAAATTGTTAGGTCTCAAGTAACTTTGCTTAATTGACAACGCAAGTCTTTGAACAGCTACGGCTGTCTGCCTTTCACCGTATTGTGATATTTTTCATTAGCTACTGTTCTTCAGCAAAAACGTGCTGTTTTTCACTTTCTAATTAAAGCTTCTATTGTGGTTACGAGCTCTATTGCTACAGAAATGTGGAATCTTTTATTGAAATAAAAACACAACACGATTCTCGATTCGCGTCGGTCTCGTTAGAGCTACAGGCAAGTTGTTTGAGCATTCTGAAAATAAAGTTATGACCTGTAGTATTTTATTTATTTTTAGTAAAGGTAGTTCAGAGTTCTGCATCGAAAAACGCATAGTACGAGTATAGGTATGATTTCGTACTTTACTTATTTAGTATTAATTGTACCTATATGGCAGGTCCCTATACAAAATATTTCATACAAGTCATAAAGAGAAGCTATTGTATGAAAAAAAAAAGTAATTTGTACACCTTTTTATATCAGCTCTAATTCCAAACACGCGAAAATGAAAAACATAATAACGTAGCAAATTGCTGTAAGTGAATTTGTGGGGGAAATTAAAAACACCTCGATCACGACGGCATAATCGCTTTTATTATGCGGTAAGGCCGCTCCGAATTTCCTTAAGAGCTTATATCAATGGAACAAGTGGCTAGTCTTTGTATTGTGTTTTATTAAAATTTCAATAAAACGTTTTGTGAAAGAAGTAATACTTAATTTCAATGATGAGGTGCCTCAATATTACCACGTAACTTGCTAGACTTACGTTCTCTTTGTTGTTTAGTTATAAAGCTTGAGTATCATTTTAATGAAATAAGCATCTATGAAAGATATTTCATTATCATCATCATCTCAGCCATATGACGTCCACTGCTGAATATAGGCCTCCGCCAATGATTTCCACAATGGCCTAGTGGGCGTCCTACGCTGCGCTTATCGGTACATAACGTACGAAAGCTATTAATCAATATGCAAAATTAAATAAATAGCAAAATGTTTATCAAAACTCTTTCTCTCGTTTAAAATGCGACACCGATCCGGATTATTCCTAGGTAAATACATTTTATTTCGAATACACTATCCGTTCTAGCAAATCTGCGATCGCACTACGCGAAGCAGTAAGCAGCTTTAGCAGAGGCTCTCTCTCTCTCATATTTTCGTTCCAATATCAGCCTGACGGCACCCGGCATAATAGACGGAAAGGTGTCAGCGATAAATTCGATACGGGAGTTTTGCACGTGTTGAAAATGTGGTCTTTATTTCCGAACAATTTTTGTCGCGAAAATTTCGCAGAAAAAGAGGAAAATGTGCACAAATTGGCAACTATGTGTCACACAGACATTCCGATAACGCGACCGATATTGTGAATTTGTTTAGTATAATGTGCCTCTTCACATCTGATATTAAACGAATTGATTTGTAAAAGTGCCACTTTGTTTTATTGATTTTATATGACATCGGAAGTTATTGTATGCGATTAAAGATCTGTTACCTAATACGGTTTGCAGGTAGATACGACATACGAGTAACTAATAATGATAGTTTAAGAAAAGAAAAGACACACTTACTTACTTCCAAATAATGCATCTTGTGGAAGAATCTTCCACAATTACGTTTCAGACTAGACGATCTTCACATTATTAGACTTTTAAATCGAGGTCCGCCCCTTTAAATCGTCTTATTCTATATCGGCTGGGTTCACCAAGATTGAAACAGTACTGAATTCATTCATTCACTATTCAGCTTCTTTCGGCTTTCTACGGAATTTATAGTGTTGGTAGCAGGGAGTAGCGAACCGAACTAACGAGTAAGTTGAGATACCTAGTTAGTTACGAAGTGGCTTCAGAAGTCTTGGAGAAAATTATTCTGAACACGTAGAACAGATGTTTTTTTAAACTTGCACCGAATTAGTCTAGTTCTTAATTTTCAATTGTCAGGTGAGGTCGCTTACCTATATATTTTTACCTTTTTAAAATAATGCATCTTTCGACACTCGAGGAACACGGGTTTGAACCCTGCCGATGCTCGACTACCTACCTATTATGGTGAGCGCACTTAATTTGATTTGATTTGATAATTAAAAGGTAAATTTTTAATGCAGCTGGACCTCAAGAAGCAGTTCGACGAGGGCGACACAACAAATTACCAGACGAACGGCGAATTCGACCTCGTCAGCTTCGAGGCCATCCGGCACAATCAGTACTACTCCTGCTGCGTGGAGCCCTACCCCGACATCACCTACGTCATCAAGCTGCGCAGGCGGCCTATGTTCTACGTGTTCAATCTCATCTTGCCCTGTTTACTCATCAACGGAATCGGTAAGTTTCAGATAAAAATGATTCCATTATTTCTATTGTTTGACTTTGTTGGCTATTTGAGTGTTCAAACTTTTGGAAAACTTGGGAACAAATGCCGCGTAATATAATAGAAGTTTGCAAGAAATGTTTCAAGTCTTACATGAATAATAAAGGTGCCAGCAAAAAGCATTCAAAGTTTAACCCACTCTTTTGCACATAAAAGATCTCATTCGTTTTTGTTCCCGAAGCAATGGTCCTTTAAACTGGCGCAAAAAGCTTCTCGGAAGTGGCTAACCGCGCCCGATGGCGTTGACGAACGCGGCAAAAGCGAAAGAACTCTTCTGCGTGCCAAACAAGTCATAATGCGATACTTTTGTATGCATTTGCAAACAGATGTTTCGAGTTCCTTTTCTTAATCAGTGAAGGAAGAAAAATATCTTATAAAAGATTTGTTTAAACAACGTAACCTTACAAGTTAAAAAAATGTGACCCGTTGAAAAAATTTGCATCTGGTATACGGTCTTACGTTGCTGAAGATATTTGAGTCTAAGACACGGGATTTCAGAGATTAAACGTGGCGCAAGCAAGCTTTCGACAAAGCTGTAAGCCGAGAACCTCTTTAGTATTACATTAATGAAGTCTTGCAAGCTGTTCGTTAAACATTTTGCTCTCGTCAACTCTCCAATATGAGACAAGTTCAATGTAAAACACTGATCCTTTTAGACGGATCCTAACTAATATTATAAATGCGAAAGTAACTCTGTCTGTCTGTCTGTCTGTTACGCTTTCCCGCTTAAACCTCGCAACCGATTTTGATGAAATTTGGCATAGAGATAGTTTGAGTCCCGGGAAAGAACATAGGATAGTTTTTATCCCGGTTTTTGAAACAGGGACGCGCGCGATAAAGTTTTTCTGTGACAGACAAAATTCCACGCGGGCGGAAAGCTAGTTTGTTATAAGTACTTTAAAATATAAGCATGAGACGCGAATATTGATTCGACTAGACAATCGCAAAATGTAAAATATGCTACTGTTATCGTATTATAACATTTGTAGATCATACCAATAGTATTTGTTTGTTCACAGCTCTTTTGGTATTCTACGTGCCATCAGAGTCCGGAGAGAAGGTGACGCTTGGGATAAGCGCTCTGCTCTCAATGACTGTCTTCCTGATGACCATCCGTGATACTCTACCACCCACAGAGAAGACTCCGCTTATTAGTAAGAAGTTTACAAACTCAAAAATATTGGTACTCCTTTGGCTATTTCGAATTCAGATGAAATTGCTGCAGAACATGTTGGGCAAATATAATCAATTTACCTAAATAATAGAAGTTATACGTTTTCCGCAGAACTTTGGCTTTCGGACTAAATTATTTCTTGTGCTGCATTCTGATAATTTGCATAAATATCAGTATTCTAGGTCACCAGAAGTACGACGAAGACTTCTTAATATTAAAATACTGGATATTTGCCAGTAGTCATTAATTATTTCACAAAGCTAGACAAGTCTTTGTTTGCAGGTGGTTTCAGGGAATTCGCGGGTACCTAACAAATTAAAATCTCTTTCAGGTCTGTATTATGGAGTGAGTACGTGCTTAGTGTCATTTTCCGCATCGCTGTCGGTGGTCACCCTCAATATATCGTACAGGCGAGTTGTATTAAACTTTCAATTTATTTCGATGATTTCATTATTGTTGTTCGCTTTGCAGCGATCAATTACTCTGATTGGGCAATTTGGCGATTTATAAATTACTGGCAATATTCTAATTAAGTGAATTAAAGTTGGCTCAATCAGTTCGAGCGTTATGTGCCTATATACCTACTTTGTATACCCCGGAAAGAATTAGTGATGGTGAATATAAAATGCTGTAAAAATTGTTGACTGGGGCGCGAAAACAATTTGTCTTGCCTTCCTAATATGTCACGACCGCAATCTAGTGAGACAAATAGTTTTGTCTGTTGAGACGAAAACAGTCTAAATATAAACTAAATAAGTAAGTTTTGGCACATTCAGCTTCTTATAAAGATTTATTCGATACACGTTTACTGTCTCTTCCAATAGATTTTTCGGTAAAGAAGAATGATCTTCATTTTATGTAAAGAAAAGAGCCTATATTTTATTACTTTCCAAACTGTAATTTGTTATTTAAGTATAGTCATGAAGCGGGCAGGGCTATATGTATTAGTTACATAGTATGAGTTTTATATTTGTTACGGTTACCAAGATACAGAAGGCTCATTCATGCCCAAATTGCAAACCTGGGACAGACAATTTTTTGTCAATTCAATCAGAGAAGATTAAATGAAACAACAAGAGTAAATCTCCATCAAAGTGTTTAACCACACGTTTAAGACGTCATAGCTGCGACGACTGTGCAAAATAATGTTCTTTCTTACAAGGCATCTTTCCCTAACACGTAAACGAGCCATTATCATGACACTGGGTGGTATATTACTTGCTTATAAGCACTAGTTGGAATGCGGGTAGCACAAAACCAGTAGTTGTGGAAATCTTTGTCCAGGGGGAAGGCCTTTGTCCAGCAGTGGACGTCATTTAGCTGAAATGAACGATGACACCATGATCATCGGCCATCGATGTAATGTAGTGTGAACCAGTCGTGTTGCTCGTAGAGGAGTGAGAGGGCAGCCGGTGCCGGCCATGCTGCGCGAGCTGGTGCTGCAGCGGCTGGCGCGCCTGCTCTTCATCAACTTCGACACTGACGCTATAAAGGTAACCTTAAAGTACAACAACAGTTGCATCTTGTGTCGTTGAGATAGATGCGATATTGCAACAAAATCGTTAGTCGGATCTGTTGTAGTGTACATAGGGGGGACAGGATACGGTTGTAACAACTAAGGCGGTATATAGATACTTGTCGCCCGCATGCCCGTCCCCTTGTATCCCTCACCTATCGTGCATAGTTTGATAACATTCGAGTTATGTTATGAGTTTTGTTACAACTGTACCCTGTTACAACTGTACCCTGTTACAACCGTACCCAGTCTACCCTAAGTACCTAGTAGTCCCCGCAGACTACAGTCTTCTTGTCGGCCGATACTTTGGTCGGTCTGTTAAACTCTATGAACGTGACCTGAACGTACGCACATTAAACACCGGTTTCGTTGCGGCCGATTCCTCATCGTAATTAGAAGCTGACCAAATATTGACCGTTAAAAAGTATGTAGTCTGCGGGGACTAATAATACTTATTTACAGTCAATAGCACATCAGATTATGCAGTCTCGTTGCAATATCGCATTTATCCACTTCATAATCCACTCCGATACAAGATAGTTACTGCTTTGAGCTTGACGTGCTGTCATAATCTGTACCATCTCGTGGTTTTATTTCAATTTTAAATAATTCATTATTTATGAAAATCAGAAATTAGCCTTTCCAATAAGTAGTTCCTAAAAATAATAACTTAGCTTGACAAATTCTCAGAAGTAGGAAATTAGATCTAACAAGAACGTATTACCTAATTGAAATAGGTACATTCAATTTCATTAATTGCTGGAAAATCTCACGGACTGAATGAAGGTCGTCACTCAAATGACAAGTACCATTTTATGAACCGAACAAAAACCTCTTTTTAAAACAAAAAAAAATCATTTACCTACAGAAAAATGTTTGGTATTTTTTGCTGCCGTTTACTCTTCACAATAAGGAACAAAAGTACACTGGCTACGCGAATATGTATATGTCACCGGAAAATAACAAGACTCGTAAGTTGATCAACTTTCNATGTATACAATTTTGCTTGAATATGACTGGACAGTTATGAATGTACTACAGCTACGTGAGAACTTATCCTTTTGTACGAGTAACATGTCTTGTGACATTATACGTTGGAATCACTTGTAATGCATTTACATCCGATTTTGTATTCATGTGCTTGCCCAGAAGTTGTGTAAGCAGAAATAAAATGTACAGCATATTAAAATGCGTCGCGCGAATGAAAAGCTAAAGGAGTTTTTTTATTATCACCTCCGCTGTCTTATTGAATTACAATACTTTCCCAATTTGCGCGAGATAAACACGAAATAACTCTGCACGCACCAAGGATTATGAAAATGGAAATTAGTTGGAAAATTGCGGGTTATTGGAAAAGTCTCGAAGAATCTTTCGATATCTCCGATTTAAGTATTTTCCTTCGTTTTACGTTGGAACGCCATTAGCATAAATAAGTCGGGGAGTGTGACCGCGACATGTGCCAGTCATTCGCGGCCGCCTAAAATATTTGCATGAAAAAACATTTCAGTGAATAAAATGTTGATTATGTTGAGCACTCCAGAGAATTTTTTATGTGTTTTACAAAGAGTTTGCGCTTTAAAGGGTAATCATGTTACATGTACGAATATAGGTGTTTTCATTGAAACATTTACAACGTTGGGGATTTGTGTAGGTATAATAATTGAATTTGCTTATGGTGCTTAATGACTTGGTACGGTTGGCAAAACATGCGTGTTGTGTTCGTGATATTTATTATACTTATTTTTAACTTTATTGTAATATATAACTTGCGATAATTAAACTTTAATCCTAAAGGCTAAGAAATATAGCCTAGAGGTCTATTTTATGTTTAGAGGCTTCAATGCAGTGCTCTAAAATCGAGTAGTTTTCATTGTGTAAAATAAGATTAGAAAGTCTAGAACGAAAACTATGCATGTGTGGAAATAGTCGAAGTTAGTAGGGATAAGCTCAAAACCTTCAAAATCCCGGTGTATCCCGAGGAGCAGCGTGCAATTTAAAAACTCATCCGTGCTAGGCCGGTGACTCGTTTTGGGCTTACTGCCCCCAGTTTATCCTACAGCAATTCGTCTTACAAATTAATAATATACACTTAAGCTTCGGATACACTGGTGGGGAAATGAAGCGAAATAAAATTACTAGAACTTAAGTAGCTCAGAAATTACTTTTAAAGTTGTATGTATTCAGAGTAGGAGCAGGCAATATTATGGTAGCTTGTTTTTAGTTACACAAGTACACAACAGATTTACAAGTGAAATCTAAGTACTTACCTAGTTCTGATTAAACGAATCGATTGGTGTTTTAAAGTTGAAGACAATTGGTTTTTTTAGTACAAGTTACAAACTATTACTCGTAGGTACCTACTTAGTAGAGTTAAGTAGACACGATATTCCGTGTCACGTTACCTAATAGGTACATTACGTAATACATGGTCTAAACTGGACAAGTTTGTAGCATCACTACGCATGATGTTCGGGGAACATCTTGTTCCTAAAAGTGTCTGAAGCTAGGTCAGATCCGTCGAGCTATAAACCGGGTCTGCCCCCTGCTCGACGAGGAGTAGCAGCGGCACGATTCTTCGAGGAGGGCGGAGGTTGTTCACAAGAACATCACTACGCCGCGTGCCCCGCCGCCCGCGCCCGCGGGGCCCCCGCGCGCGCCGGACATCTCTTTTGGTTTTTACATCGTTCACATCAGAGCAACTACGCAATTTTAATGTATTTCCTTGTAACAAGATATTCTTGGTAGTAAACCGTTTGAAACACGAAACAGCGTCTCCTTCATCCATAAGAATCCCGAACATATGTACTGCATTTTTGGACTTATCTGTGTAGGGTGAGAGTGGTGGTGTGGCGGCCGGCAGCGTGGGCGTGCAGGTGAACCCGCGCACTGGCTCGCGACTGAAGGCCGAGCCGCCGCTCTCGCCGCGATTCGCCCGGCACAACCACAACCATTTGGGTGAGTCACATGTTTTAACAAAACCTACTTTGTTACTACTAACAGGCCTGGCTCACTTCGCGCGGTACATCCGATAATTACCTACAGCGAAGCGCCCCGCCGGCGGGTATTATATCAGTCGAGTGTCACGCGCGCGCCCGTCAGGACGCTGGCGTGCGTTGTAGTAGGTACCTAATTCTATGATCGAAGTATTATTTAAAAATAGACATAAAGAGAAATAAATATTGTGCGGCGTTCGGGTGTTTAAATTCGAAAAGAAATCTACCGGATTTATCTTTTTTTTCGCTTCCCAAAGATGCTGAAAGGTATGTTTGCCATGTAGGTAGGTAATCAGTAATTCTTAGGATAGTATAGGAACCTAACCTACCATGACTACTGCTCAGAATGCGTTCGTTCGTTTCAGCCAAATGACGTCCACTGCTGGACAAAGGCCTTTCCCAAGGTTTTCCATAATGAATGCGTACTTACCTACATACGTACCTCATTACATATAAGTAGATTAATTATTTTTTCACTAGACAGCAACCCTAACAGCGTAAGAACAGTTCAGAGGCACGCGATAGAAAGAGACAAAACTTGTAGGTGAATAAAATTGTAGGTACGTAGTGCTGTGCGAGCTGAATTCCACTGTATCGCGTCGTAGCAAGACTCGCATTTATTTAAATCGTCTTGCGGAGTAATCCTTCTGTACCTGTACTATTACTTATTCTGTGCTACTACTGTCCTTTGTAAAGAATGTGCCTGGTGCTATGTAAGTCTGTGAATGAATAAGTCCGATTATCAATTTTCCTTCGTGCAATCACGTACAAGTGTTTACCTTTAATATATCGTGTCTATACGTAAGCGTTTGCGTAGCAGGCTAGCGCACTATGTCTGCTTAGTATAATTATGATACATTCTTGGAAACAGTAACAAAGATGCGGTTTTGCGTATAAATAATAAAATGTTTAGTAAAACTCGGAACACCAGGTATAACAATAACTTGGGAGCATAGTATAAATAAACCAACAGTTTAGATAGATCCAATATGAGGTCCATGTACGCTCGATCGCTTGTCACATAGCCTCTTCGTTATAAAGAGAGAAAAAAGGATACAATTTGTTTCATCTCAAAGCCCCTTGATATTTGCTTTCACTTTTTCGCAACATCAGTAGAATTTTTCGTCTAAATAAATTGTTGGGGTAAAAAACGATTAATTTCCTGACACTTTTATCATCTGCGCCTAACAGTTAAACGATGTTGATATATTTTTAAATAATGCTGAAAATTATATTTTGAATACTCAAATTCTATGCCGAAAGAGGCAAATATGGGTAAAAAGCTTTTCAATGTTCCGCATTATTTAACATTCATGTCTATCTACTAGAGGTACAGCGTGTAGGGACGGGCTGGCATAAACCTAAACATAATTTAGATTGATATCATTGTAACCCTGAAATACATTTTTCTATTTTTGATTACTTTTCGATTACTTTTTTACAACGTTCTAACTAGATTTTAAATACTTTTTTTGCATAATACCACAGATAAAACAGTTTTCTGTTTATTTTTTTTGCCAACTTGCCCTGATTTCTTTGGCACAGGGAGCAGTAGGATTACAAGAAAAAGAAATATTCCCGTATTTATGTGAACAAAAGGCTCCGTTTCCTTTAAAGATCTGAAGAGATACGTCCGACTCTTTATGCTACAAGGCATTGTTAGTTAATCGCGTGTGTATTACTGTAGGTCTGGTGGAAGTCATGTGGAAAAGATCGACCCTCAAACGCGGATCCAGAAGGTCCCGGCTAAGGGCGCCATCGTAAATAACCATACTCACCGACTGGGCTTAATTTGGTGGAAAAGCTAGAAGAGATAAAACTATTAAGCTAGAAATCTTAAGTTCCCGTAATTATCAAGTAACTTAATATATCATTCGTAGTTTTATGGAAAGAATGAATTTCTACATCGCATGATATTATGTGAAATATGAATCAATGAATTTTTACATCTTCAACATATTTTTATGTGGTTGTAAGAAAATAATTTAATACTGTTTGAGTACTCTTGAGATAAGCAATATTTAATTTAAGTCTGATCTTATTTCTGTAATACGATCTGAATGGTTTAATTATACATCTGTAAACAATTATTTAAAAGGGAAGATAGTAGCTAAACTAAAGAAGATCTAATTAAAGTACCTAAATAAGAAAAGGTTGGGCCTACTTTCTTTTTATTTGGTAACATTTCAGTAGTGCTGGGCACGTGAAACTTGGTCATTACCTCCCATGGTACTAGTGCGGGAACCAACCAAGGATAACAAGTTGTCTAGTATTTGATTACCATAGAGTGGTTTTGCTAGGGTTGACCCCGGTGGCTGTCACTAGCAAACTTGGTTACTTCTTACTTACTACACTAAGGTCTATTTATTGGATGAATTGATAATATTGCATTTATATATTACATTTGTTACATCATTAAGGCTTTTATTACCTACTTATTATTATTATTATTTTTAATAATACTTTATAAATAAAAAAGTATACCTACAAATACCTCAATACCACATTACAATTGTGTGGCTGCCCTAAGGGCAGACCGATACTTAGCCAGCCAAGTAGTAGACTGACCTATAACTTCGTTACCCGACAGTCCTGAACGGGAGTAACAATCTCAAGTAATTTGTTTACCTGGCACCGGAGGGTGTGACTCTATGAGATTGAATGAAATTCCTCCCCTAATGCATGTCGCCGTTTGCTCCAAATTTTATTTGTGTTACTTGGCGTAGAGATTTCGTACAGTATTTCTCGCCTGTCTTCTTTGTTTCAGTGATATAGATGCCCGTATTATTTCAGAACGCCGCCGCTGACTTTGGGATTGTCGTATCAAATTGAGTGTTAAACGATATATTATTACCTACCTTGTGGCAAAAAGTTAATGTAGGTATATGTTTGTTTAACTATTGAATTGTAGGCAGGTGCATAATGACAAATAGTCAAAAGAGGACTAATTAAAAATATGCTAGCCTAAGGAGCCTTCACATCTCTTAATTATTTTGCGCTGGCTTCGTGACAAACAGCTGAAAAGAAGGAACGGAAAACTCATTCAACGCCAAGTATCTGATCCTTCAAATTATTAAAAAGTAACAGTACTAGGTAGTTGGTAGGTTAATTTATTGATCCAGGTGCGGCTCTCTGAGTTTACTATGAATTTTTCTAGCACTACAGGTGTAGGACCTTTTAAATCTACGAAATTGCCTTATACTCGTAATAAATGATGTAATAGTATCTTGCTGATATATTACATGTTGAGCCGAGGTGTTTCTCAAGTTTTCAGTGTGATTAATTAGTAATCCAAGCTGACCTTACCGCCCGTCCGAGTAAATCAGAGCGCTATCAAACCGCAGCCGACACCGCACGTCCGAGTTAATCTGCCTTATCACATCCATAAGCGTTTCCATCAAGATCATCTAATTATGTTTTTTTGATTTTACGACATTAATTACGTATTAATGAGGGTTTTCGCGAATGAAAAATCCGCCAGATGGCAATACGTTAACCCGAGGTCCAAATACTGCATGATTATGTTATTTTTGACATGACATTGACAGATATGTCAAAATCCACCAATCACGCAGCAGTCAGACCCCACATCCACGTCCCGCCATCTAGCGGATCTTTCATTCGCGAAAACCCTCATTATGCGAGCGCCAAAATAACTCAAAGTTGGTGCCAAACAGCTCTGTAATTAATATTTTACTTGGCGCAATAATTATGTTTGCGATACATTTCAATTAATGTCTAATGGACTTCATAATGGGATCTTCAGATTTTTCCGCAGAAAAACTTGAGTTAGATACTCCTTAGTGTTATTACTTATTGTTTTAGTGCTTATGAAAGTAGAAAAGAATTGTATTACGAGTATGTTGCTTTTACCTAGAGCACTTTTACTCGAAGAAGCTCTACGTTTGCGGTGTAATTGAATACAAGGTATACTTAATAGGTAATACCATTGTAGTAAATGTATCGGTGTGTTCAAGAAAATAACGCTATTCATTGTTTCTAGCATTTTATAAAATTGTAAAAAAAATATTTTCTTGGAACCAATTCATCTAGCTTTTTTACATATTATAAAAAATACTAAAGCTGAAAGCTATATGAAAACCAGACCATGTTTGTTGCTGTTCTAGCATATTTTCTAATCTTACGTAACGACCAGCAGTGTAAAGTACGCTCGTAGTAAAAACAAAAAACAGATTTTAGAATTTTAACATAAGGACGTACCAATGTGTTAAGGACAAAATAATGTCATCTTACGTTATTATTTAATATTCAGCGGCAGTGGAAACCAATTTCACGCCCTATTTTACTTCACGCTTACCTAGAAACCATTCACGCTGCACTGTACCTAACCTTGATTGCCTCAAAGGTCTTTTGTTAAACATATACCATATCGTTACCCTATATTTCGGTAACTAGGGGGTGCTGGAGGCGGTCCAGTGGCCGCAGCAGCGCCGGCCGGCGAGCCAGCGGCGTGCTGCGCGGGCGCGTGCGTGCGATGCGCGTGCTGCGGTTGCACGCTGCGTGATGCGGCCGCGCGCCACGAGCAGCGCGTCGCTGCCAACGAGCGCCTGGAGAGAGCTAACCTTGAGTGGAAACAGGTGGGTTACGGACATATACTCTATCACATCATGATTGTTCTAGTTCCAGTAAGTTCTCAATCTCACATCCAGGCACTATTTTCTTCAGGTAGTCGGTCAATTTGAAGCCACGATAGCCGAACGGTGAAAGGGTCGGACTGGCCGACTCGTGATACGAGGAACACGGTTTCGGTCCCCGCCTATTAGTAATTTGTGTAATAACAATCCCACCAAAAACATTCTGTAAAAAACTAGCCAAGTCTCGATGGAGCTGCCTGTTTATCTCTAAAAAGTAATGAAATCTAGACAAAGTCGTGCCAAGTCTATGGTTCCTTAATGCGATTTCTTTATTATTTATTGTTAATGTTGTGTGACTTGGCCGTTGAACTATCTTTATTAAGATAATCATACATTATTGAAATACGCAGATTGACTATTAACGCTACGTGGTTATTCTTTCAAAGCGCGTTATACTGTCTTAATACAGCTGAAGCTGTAGCCCTTCAGGTCTCACGAATCGAGAAATGAATGAAACTGATAGGTCTGAAGCGTCCTTGGCTTCCTACCAGGGGCAAAATAGTTAATATTAATATAAGAAAAGAAATTTGTAATTAACAATAATTGTACTTACATAAGAAAATTATGGTGTGCGTACTTCTCATCTCATTAGTAAACTTTTGTACGAAGATAGAGTTTCAAGCATAACAAAAGTTTGGATCATTGATAGACTTTCACCATCATTCATTCAATACAACTTTTTACGGTTTCAGAAAGTTTCTTTTCCAAGTTCCTAATTTTAGTATTACGTCTCTATCAAAAGTCAGAGGGCAAATCAAGGCCTTAATTAAATGAGGCGTTTTAATAAAAAATAATGAGAGCCGGCAGAGAGATGCAAAACTATTTATTAAAAAATCTTAAAGCTATAAATTGGTCCCCTCTACTTTTAAACTTTCGGCTTTTCCTCTTGATAAAAGCCGTTGTGCCAATCTAATTAATTTTTCCTCTCAAAAAAAAAGCAAAACTCGTGCAAAGTAGGCAGTGCCAAGTTTTTGTGGCTCGATTTTATCACTGACCCAATCCTTGTGCTCGATAGATATTAATGAGAAAATGCAAATGGGTGGAATCGGTTGACATTCCGTGGCCTGTGCTCTCTTTTATCCATTTTGTAATAGACCTCATGTTTTTAAGTCTAGAATCCCGGTTGCCGTAAATGGATTTGCTGGAAATTGCTTGGATCTCTTTTTTTAGATTGCCTGTTGGTATCCAAGTCAAATGATAATTCCTTAAGCTCTTGAACGGGTCACGTAGCAATACAACGTTGTTTATGAAGCAGACAATATGTTAAGCTGAAAATTACGACTATCTTTTTCATTTATCTTTTATGTCCGATATTATACAAAAAAGGTTGGTCATAAGCGTTTATAAGAGCTGTCGCTCAGGAAAAGTTCTGAAGGTCTTTTTTATGTGTTATGTTTAGTAAGTAAGTTAGTCGTTTAGTAAGTCTTGTATTTTGTTATTGTTAGTTTTTTAATGAGTAAAATATTTCAGGTGGCAGTCGTAGCTGACCGCGCCTTGCTTGCAGTTTTCGTCCTTGTGACTACCATCTCAACCGCTGCCATACTATTGCCGCAACTGAACAACCTACACGTCGGAAACACGCCTCTAAAGCCTCCTACTTAGAGTCTAACTTTCTTCCACGAGGGACAATATCCAGCCAACGAATTAAGTACGTATTAATATTGTGCCAAAAATATTGAAGGGGTTTTGAGTAGACAGGGTGGAAAGCACGAGTTAGCAATTTAATACCAAGAAAATTGAATGTGTAAATGAAAAAAAAAATGAACGTAAGTAAAAGTAGGAACTACTGTACTACTTTGATGGCCAAATATTGTAGACCCATCACATCTGAATCTTAGTAAATCTTTATCTATTTTGAAGCTTTAATAACTACAAGTTAATTTATGTCTTGCTCGTTTTCGTTTCATTAAGAATTAAAAAAATCTTATGAGGTATACGTAAAAACGTCTAAAGTGTTCCTCAATTTTGAGTTATCTCGATGGAATGGGCATTAAATTAGTTATTTTCATTGTAACTTTTGCAATATAAATCCAGGAAACCGTTCCCACTTATATTCTGTTCAGTGGTAAATACGCAGTCGCCATGGTGATTTGGGAAAGTTTATAAATGTAAAATAAGTAATTAACAAAAGCCAAAAGCTTGTTACGTTTGATTTTGATATGATTGTTAACAATCGTTTTGATAGAATCGTGAAAAATGCCAATATTAAGGGTCAATTATTAAATATTTCTGTATTTTTTAATTGTTATTTTTAAGTAGGTACATTTTCGTGTATTTCATTCGTATTATTATTGTTTTGTTAACTCAATCTGTAATTTCATTCCGCAGACATACCTAATTTAGTTTCTGGACTTAATGACAATGTTTTAATGATATTATAATAGCCGAAAATAGGATCTAATAATAATATTTATCGGTGGTAAAAATTTCTAATGCTTCGCTTTGAAATTTCTACCACCTGTTTATCATCATTGCATTCTTAATGTTTTGCGCAATTACTTGTATAATAGTTAATATAATAATAATTACATTTACTAATTAAGACTCATAAACACAATGAGTCGAATCCGTTTACGAACACAGAAAAATACTTAAAGCATTTGTATATGTATGTATCCATTAGCCACATGTTTCATTCATTAATTTCCCAAAAGAATGTATACTGAATATGATAACGTTTACGCAAATTATCCTTATTGACAATCTAGCAGAGCTCGGTGTTAGTTGTTACTAGTCAAGTAATTAGATTATGCTCAAGGTTGTTGCCAAATATGAAAAAGAAATTGTAAATATTATTATTAATGTTGATAATTTTAAAGCTAAATTATAAATTAATTTATCGACTGTACAAAAGTAAATAAAGTTCGGAAGATTGTGAAAATATGTTTGATTTATTCAAAGTTTGTCATAATAATATACTGTTAAGGTGAACATACATAGGTACTCGTATATGAAGATCTAAATGTCGTCATTATGAGTGCTGTGGAATTTTGTAGTTAAATCGATTTCTATTTGCTACGAGTGACTCCCAAGTTACTTATGGACATTTGTAATGTTCGAAGTGTTTGATGACTCTACCTTGCAAAACAGTTGATATTGTATTATAAGGAAACGAATTCCATAAAGCCGTGTGGTGACGGCAGAGTAGAATACATTTGTCACCAACCCCTACTCTTCCCGCGGGTGTCGTAAGAGGCGACTTAGGGACTACACATCAAACAGAGAATGGGCAGCAGCGCTCTCTGAAAAACATCAATCTTTTAAACTGCGATCTCCAACCCGCCTGCCAAGCGTGGAGATTATGGCAAAACCCTCCACTATAGTGGAGGAGGCTCATAGTCCAGCAGTGGACTGTAAAGGGCTGTTGATGAATTCCATAACAAATGCGGCATTGGCTAGAGGTAAGCTCTCCCTATTCGTCATAATTATTGTGGTTCACTGAAAATGTTACAGTACAAGTAGGTAAGTATAATAACTTATGAAACGTTTCCTGAATTGCCACAATTTGCCACAATCCGTTAATCGCAGCGCTGTGGATGTCACCCGCACGGCCCATATAGGTCGTTTAACTATACCTACTTAAAACGAAAAAAGGCTTACACGTCACATTTGTGGGTAAGTTCCATTAAACACATTCAATTATAAATATGGGATGCTAGCATCAAAGAACATTAAGTTCTTATGCAAGATTGCCAATAATATTTTCTATTGGCACGGACTAAAGATATTATAGGCCTAACAATTAATGCGAGCCTTATCCGACACACGGCCTGTAGTCGTTTATTAACTTATCAGATGTAAAAATGCTTTCACAGGGTATGTAGGGAATAGGGGATACGTTGTTAGTACGGGATATCACTTGCCCTACATTTCCCTTTCTCAGGTATTTTCTGGGACTTTTTCTCTTATCGTTATCTTAGTCACGTCACATAGCGTCTAAACTACAGCGTACACATCGCATCCTTGATGGTAGGCACAAGATACCTCTCAAAACGCAATCACTAAATGAAACGAGTTTAGGATCTACTAGACGTATTTCAAACGGCAAACTATGAATAATGAACGCCGTCTAATCCCGCTGATGTAGGTATCAGTCGCTTAATATTAAATAGTAAAGTTTTAGATTTATAAATGAGAGTAACATTTTTTCTGTTCCCTGAGGGTCATGGTAGCACCAATTTAAAATCATGTCAACCCTTGTTTGGCTCCGCGAAATTAAATTGGATGGTCGGTCTTTAGGGGTCGAATTGAATATAAAAGATACGTTTTGATATGAATATGTAACATGAGTTCGCAGAATATGGCTGAATAAAGTATGCAAAGGCAGCAAACCCTACCCGAAATTTTCACATGAGGGTTATGTTATTACAATGATCTAGCAAAATAATTATGGTAGTAGATAAATAGATAATATACATATTTTAACAGTGAAAATGCTCAACAATACTTTTTCACGTGTGTCATGGAGCTCAATACCAGGGTCAAGTGTAGGTATTATACATGTCCGCTATTTGATTTGAAAACTCTCCAAGAAATCTTGATCGAAACCGTAACTTATTTGTAGCACTTGCAGTAAACATTATATTCCTTAGCTACTCAAAATTATTTCCAACCTATATTCTACGTAAACAAATCTTAATAATTTGCTCCTCCATAAAGAAAATAAATTAATAATTGAGACTAGCAGTCTATTTGGTGATTTAATTACAATTTCCTTAATGAGGAAAAAAATTGTAAGTATTTCAAGTCGTATAATCTATATATATAAAAATGAAACCCGTTTCGCGTTGTCACGGCATCACGTGTGAACGGCTGAACCGATTTCGATAATTCTTTTTTTTAAATGTTTGTGGAAGTCCAAGGATGGTTCTTACGGAAAAAAATATTAAGAAAATCTCTACGCTAAGGCGGTACGAAGTTCGCCGGGTCAGCTAGTAAGAAATGAAATTGAACAGTCCATTGAAACGTAAGTAGGTACAATCATAATTGCAATGAATTCGCGAAGTCTTACGACCGTTTCTGTTGATTTGTTAATACATTAATAAGTTGGGCGTTGTACAGAAATTCTCGTAATTGCTTACAAACTGTTGTAATGTCATAAAATCATTCGGCTGAAGCCCGTCGACCCAATTAGAATCACTCGACACGAGGGTGTCAAAACTTCAGCGGCCTTGACCCGCGCTACTAAGCACCCAAATGTTTTGATTTTCAACTGTTTCAAGAATAGTATTTTGTACTTCATTGGAGTTTCAGTCCTCTATGATTTCACGAGGTAAACTCCAGTATACCAGGTACACGCTAGATAGGTAAGGTATTTCAGCGAAGCAAGTAGAGAGGCCGAAGGTCTTTTTCGGTTTTGATCTACCGGCAATTTTTATTTTTTCCACCACGTAGGCTTACTTTACTCACCATTTTAATAATTGTGTCAACATGAAGTCATGTTTCTCAGTTCAAGTGCCATTTTATACAAGATATCAGGCGTGAATTCTCGTAATAATTGGTTACGTATTTACCATTGTATTTACTATTACCAGATATCCTTAAATTGGCACTTCTCTCCAACGAATATGCCCAAAAAGGCCACTGTTACAAATTGCTCCAGTTTCAAATAGCTTTGTTTTGTAATGCATGACCCGTCTCTATTCTAAATGTTACAATTACCGCTCCATCGGCCCGCTCTACGCCCATTGTCCAGATTTGGCTAATTTACAACACTCCCTGTTTGATATTAGACGTTCATTGGAATAAATAAGAAAATAGATATTTTCAAGTTATTTAAAAATAGATCGAGAGGCGACTCTTAACACCAGAAAGTTTTAATAAGTAAATAAATAAACACATTACCACTCCTTTGCGTCGCGCAGTGCAAATGTGCACGGATTCAATAAAGATGAATCAACGTTTTACAGCCGAACTTATTTCAATTTAGGCTCCAACTACTGAAGCCGTTTATTCAAAAGTGTAATTCTAAAAAACTTTCAGCCCTAATTCAGCTCTTATGGAAAATCTGGGGGATTTATTTGCAATCGGGGACTGGATCTACTTGGCTGAAAATAGCTAAAAGCAAATCAACGTTGTTGGCTTTTACAATCAAGAGGTAGGTAGGAAGATGTGTATTATGGTAAGATATGTAGTATTTCATTATACTTAATGAATATAAATGTTGTTTCGTAATTTGAAGGATGAATTATTACTGCTTTACTACGGACAACAGTGAAACTCAAATTAAATGTTTTTGGCTGAAATTGCGAAACGTCGCAAATAAGAGTCGCTTGCTCATGATAACAGATTTGTGCCTTTTGGTGGCGAGACTTGGACCTTCGAGAATGTACGTAAAATTACTCTTTCGGACCATTTCATCAAAATTATTTTATCTTTTTAATAAAAATGCTGGCTCTTTTCTTGCGCAAAGGCAATATTCAGCAAGGAAATGCAGTGAGCATCCTCGCCTCTGCTTCACGGATATGGTTTTAATTTTGGAGAGAGTTAGCTTTTATTTATTTTAGGATTAGTTTTTCGTTGAATAAATTAATCATTTTATTTATAGTTACTGGAATAATGCAAGCTTTAGTAGGTACTTACTACTATAAATTATTGAGTATTCTTGTGTAGGTGGAGACACAATGTCATGATAAGATAGTTTACAATACCTATTATGATGCTTTATTGTCTGTGATGCTGATTGGTAAGATAGGTACAGGTTAAATTCTGTAAATGTTTCGAAATTGTCAACAAAATGGATACAAAAATTACGAAATTCTACGACTAAATATTTTAAACATAAGAAAACTTTACGACGTT